GCCCCCCCGGCCAGCTTTCCCCAGTTTATGTACTGAGCATGACGTCACATGGTATGGAATGTCCCTTTGGCCAGTTTGGCTGTGCCCCCTCCCAGCTTCTTGTGCACCTCCAGCCTTCTCAGTCGGTATAGCATGGAAAACTAAAAAGTCCTTAGCTAGTGTAAGCATTACCTAGCAACAACTAAAACATCCGTGGTTATCAACTTTGTTCTCATCCTAAATCCAAAACACTGTACCAGCTACTAGAAAGGAAATTAACTCTATCCCTGCCGAAACCAGGACAGTGCCTTTTGTACACTTCCCAGCAAATATTGCTGAAAGGAGTTCATAAACCAAAGCAAAAAGCTGTACAGAACAGACCACATTTTCCATCTCTTCATAAGAAGCATAGCAAGGAAAACACATGCATTAGTAATTGGAAGTGCAGACCAGTATGCAGACCTGGAATACTTAAATCTTTTTGTTTTAAGTGGCACATCTTCAAAAGAAAAACAACTTTTAATTCCTACAGTACCAAAAAACGCTTAGGCAAAAGACAGATAAATAGACTTCATTTGCTAAGAAGTTACAAAATTATGGCCAGAAGAGTGGCTTAACTTGGTATCCAGTTTCCATTTCTCCTCTGATGTCTGTAAGAAGTTGGCACAATCACTTCTGGCTTAGAAGTCTGACTGCCAGACCAACAAATTGCTCACTTCAATGTCTGAGCAGACCCAAGAAAGCAGGTTTAGCAGTAACACTGTTAGCATTGCAGAAGAGCAGAAAGGCCCTTCCTTTTGCCCAAGATAATTTCAAAATAGAGACATTCTACTTTAGTACTGCAAACTGCACTCACATGTATTTTAAATTGTCACATGAAGTATTCAGAGGCTACTGTATCTGTTCAGATTACTGCAATCTTGTAATTTCTGTGTATATATATGTATATATATACACACAGTTTCTAGATTAAATCTTTTAAAATATATTTTTAAATAAAAGAGTGTCACACTTGGTGTGTTCAAACAGGCGGATTGGAAAATCAGGGACTGTGATGCTGAATTTAATAATATGGTGCTGAAAGTGCTACTCAGCTGCGCAAAGAGATTTGCTTGCTCCCAAAGCGTCACAGCATGCCTTTCAAAAGCCACCAGAATGAGAAAAAGTTCACCAAAACGTACTGACAAAATATTTTCTTGATTAAATAAATAAGGACACTGGAAATTTTTACATACTACTTCTAGTGGGCTAATGTTTAGGAAATTCAGTCACAGATCTGAACCACTATGCCAAGCACTATATAAATACCTACCAAAAAGCGGAACCTCATCTATAAATGTGAAAGGTACTGAATGAAATATAGTCTGTATTTCATGTGACAGATTTTGAAGTCTGTAGAAATGCCCCTGTTGGGCACCTGAAGTCCCTTCAAGAACAGACCCTTAATTAGGTGTATGCTTTTATTTCTAATCCTTTGTATCTTGAGAAAGGCCCTCTGCTAAAATTCAGTGTACAAGTATTTCAGTACAGGATTTGGCTTTGATTCACTTCCACTGACAAACTGGGGGAAAAAGCTTGCTGTACACTGATTTACAACACCTCCTTTGGTTTTTAATTAGAGAGAATGTAATGGATGTCAACATAAGCTGAGGAGTTGGTATGAACAAAAAACCCCACTGTCCTATTCTTACCTCTTGGCCATTTCAGAATTGCTATAAACAGATTGACCTAAATGCAGCTGTGGTTTGAAGTAACACGCGCAGAACAATTGTTAGTTTTACCACGTAGTATGACACACTGCAGTACACCCTAACCTTTCAGATTTTACTCAGGTTTCTTCTTCAGATAACCACTCTCATGATACAATTTGCCACTGTCTGCTAAATCACATAACATAACCAACACCTTTTACTGAATATATTCAAGCAGGACAGTTGCTGAGAGAAAGGTAAAAGAAAGAACTGAAGTTAGTTACCTCAGGGGACAGACTAGGTGTTTATTATAAATTTAAGACAAAAGTAAATATGTATACTGCATTACTGCTATTAGTGACCACTGGCAGCCAAATGTTTGCCATTTTCTTGGTATGTGAAGAGACAGCCCTGATGAACCACACTGCAAATGAATAATCATGAAATCATGAGACCAACTTACCAAAAATTAAGCTGAACAAGAATCTGGTCTGTGTTTTTAAGACTATCTATTTGACATAGTTTTGTGATCTTGAGTCTGTAAGCTCACCTACCTGTTACTCATTTTCTTGAGTGGTAGAAAAGTTAAAACTGCAGAAGTAAAATATTAGGGATTTTTTCTAATTCTCAATGATGCATGAAAATTATTTCTTCCATTTACATCTTTTCTTTAAAATTTTCAGAGTTTTCACAGCTTTATTTTCACTAAGGCTCATATCTGGCAAAATCAGAGGAACATAAGTTGGTGCTTAAATTTAAGCTTGAAGTGCTAAACAGGAACAGCAATGAAACCACACAATTATAGAAAGTCTTCAGGTAATTCATACTGCAAAACAGACTTTTTAGTATTTTGCAAATAGCTTCCAGTGCAGAACCTAACTATGCAAAAAAAACCCACCACCATGAACAAACAAACAAACCAGCTACAACTTCTGACCTGAAGAAACATAGGAAAGACTGCATACATTATCTAACACCATTTTGCACACTAAGCTTTGAAAATTATATGGTGGGCTTGTAGAAGCTTTATACCACCTCTGAATGAAAAAGCACAGGAAGAGCTTATTTTTCTGTGTTCAATACTACATCAAAAATTTGTCACAGAGGCTCTAAAATAAAATGCATGAGATGTTAGAACTTCACCTCAAACAGTACGAATTCACTTGCTGCCAACTCTACAGAGGGAAAAATAAGAAAAGGAAGTGGAGAACACACTGTTAGGCCTGATAGCAGAATCAGAGCTACCCTTCTTGAAGCAAAAATTACTTTGGCAAACAAATCACTAAAAGGTAGCTCTCCTCTCTCTTTTGTATTTTCACCACAGAGATGACATCCAGTACTCACCAAGATTTGGCTGAGACATTGCCATAGACCTCTGGGGTATTGGTGTGGAAGTAGCTGAAGGATGGTGGCTCATGTGATTCAGCGGTTGGTTCATAGTTTTTCGAGGATCTTGCCATGTTGTAATTTTTTCTATGTGACTGAGAAAGAAAAGATAAAACACAAGCTTAACACAAAATGCCCAAGTATATTATATACATGGTTAGGCATAATGTCATGAAAGTCCTATTTGCTTTTCTTACCCCACATTTTTCTACCCTTCTCATCTCACCCTAACCCATTTCAAATTATCTACCATCTTCTTGTCATTTATTTTTATTTCCGATCTTTTGCCCCTGCCATTCTAACTTTTTATGCACTACTGTTGAATTTACTTGCACAATTCGTGAATTCTATTATGATACTGAAAATCTGTAATAAAAACTCATCTTCCAGATTATTTAATTGTCCAAAAGTTGTTTACTCTTGTCCTATCAGTCTTTTTCTACATACTCAAATATATGGCCATTCTTCATTCAGCAATAGATGATCATTTTGCTGAGTTTTGAAAAGACAAGTGTTTGTCTTGCCAAAGCCAACTGCTTTGTTCCTTACCACACCGTGAAAACTAGTCTGTCTGTATGTCTCCAAGAATATCAGAATATATTCTCATTACCAAAAGGGGCAGATTATGTCCTCATGACTCATGTGTAATCACCAATTTCTCTGTAAAGGCACCAACAGTTTTTATTGCAATGTAGTCAATGTAGGTCAACAACGGATCTACCACCCTAGTATGTAAACCCTCATGTACCTACATTACCCTGAAAACTATGGAGTAGTGCATAAATCTGCATGAGATTTTACAGTGAGGTAACTATAAAGTGTGATCTCTAAAATATTTTTTGCCACAGAATAACAGTGGTGAAGGAACTGTGGTTTTGTTGCAACTGAAGGTTTTCATTGAAATGCATCAGTTTTGAAAGAAACTTATCAGGACAAGGATTTTAAGGCTCAGCATGTAATTCTATTTGAAACAAGAAAAGAAAAAGGAACTGTCTTAAAGCAATCAATAGTCTGGTATCTATCTAGAGACTGCCTGTTCCATGTCCAGCTTTCTGCCCAACTGACTAACCAGGCTACTGATTACCGGCTAGACTTGGATGGGTTTTCCTCTATTAGTTTTTTGCTAGAGAACTTTAAAAGAGATAAGCCTTCAAGAAGAACATGTAAAGAAGGATAAAAATTTAAATATTCTGTGTCTGGAAAACCATTCCAACACACCTTTCATAAAAGCACAGTCTAACATCACCTTTACTGAACTCAGTCTCAAATTTGTCATTGCTACTTTCACCTACATTATTATTAGTAATTGCCATTACTGCTGTGACCACTCCACACCTTCAGACTCAGCTGATCACCAGTACTATTTCACAAGCAAGTTTCTGTCTATTGTGATGTTACCACATCCAAACTCTTTACAGTAAGTCTCTGATATTACCAAAAATAATGTGAATTACAAGCAGGGAAAAAAACCCCAACAACCTGAACCATTTTTTAAAGAACAGAAAAAAGTGACACTGTCTTTATTTAGTCTGTAGCCATTTTCTTTTCCTAATATTTTACATTTAATGTACAGTTCCGAAACTGTAACTGAAGATCACACTTTCACTTCGACGCTTATCTAAAACTCAGCCTCTAAGCTGTTGAGCCACTTCCTTTCTTCATGGCTTCTAGAATATTTGTTTGTTATCATTCACAGTGAAACCACCCACCATTGCTTCTCCCTAGCATTAAAACACTTTATTCTCCCCTCATTGTAAACTTTTTTTATATTTTAGCTTTTCCTCTTTTTACTCTTACTTTTCAAGTATAAGAATGCTTGTATCCAGTTTAGTTAAATGATCTTTTTCCAAAATTAAGAAATGGCATTCTGAATGAAAGATGCTGCTGTAACAATAAATCGGGCAATGTTTTCTGTTAAGTCCTAATTGTGCCTAAATGAGATGAAAAGCATTTTTATTTAAAGTTCCATTGTTTTGTTTCTCTGGCACTGTAATTCAAATAAAGAAGGTACACTTAATCAAAGCTATGAATTTTGGAATATCAACACGTAATAGAAAAGATTTTTCCCCAAATAGTGAGAAACATGTTTTCAAGCATGAGCTTTAGTGATTAAAATAACGCCTTGATGAAGCTTGTATCAAAACACACACATTTCTCACTTTAATACTTTTTTTTACATGCAAATACTGTAAAATTTAAGCAAAAAGGTTAAAATTACATCAGACTTTTTTTCCTGTAATGTTCATCTCTAAAAACTGAAAGCAATTCCTGTTAGGAAAACCTGAAGCACAAGTTAAAGTATTTATGAAGTCAGTTGTATTAAGCAATCTGTAACTTGTTTGAACGTATTCCTCACTCTAACTACAAATCCAAAACCTTTAATGAGAACTGCCAATTACATACAACGGGCAATAACAGGAAGTGCTCTTAACAAAAAGACACACTAGAATACCAAAATGGTCAACTTCAAAATTCTGTTTTGTTATCAAAGTTCCTTTCAGCAGTAACATTCTCACATTGCATGGGCATGATCATTCATTTTTTGATTCAGGTTAGAGCTATGAACACATGCAGAGTCGTGTATGTGAGTCTGTACTTAAGATTTTGAGGATCCTTCCATTTTAAGAATTTGGGAAAAGAGAACAAGTCTACCCAGTACAGTGCTCGGTCAGCCTCACAGTAAAATAGTGTTTTCTGATGTTCAGAGGAAACCTCCTGTGTTTCAGTCTGTGCCCATTGCTTCTGGTCCTGTCAATTAAAGAGGTTGTATGTAATAGCCTGCAGTGAACCAAGCAGATTGAAGCCAATTCATGCATTTCACTCTAGTGTCCAACTGAAGCGTGTAGCACAAGAAAGTCCCTGGCAAAATCTTTGGTTTGTTTCAGGGAAAGAAAGATGCAAGTCTTGCAGTTCATGCTGAACCACACTCAGCACTGTCAGCCACTCATGGGTGCAGGGTTTGGCACTGGACATGGCTTTAATGGTGTGAAAAGGTGTGAAATATTACCTTCAGTTAACAGGACAAGCATTTTTCTTCTGGAATTGTCTTCAAACCCACAAATCCCAGCAGCAAGTACCACACAAATCTTGAAAACTGGGCAGTGGGTAAGATTTGCTGGTTTTAGTTCGGTTTTCTAACCATTGCTGAGCTCCTGTTCTTTAAACTGTTGCTACAGCTACCTAATTTTCTACCCCAGTATTGCCAGCTGTTATTTCATTTATTTATTTATTTATATTTTTATTATTTAATTTTGTCTTCTTGCCTGAATGGTGGAAGATAATAACCATGTCACAGTGATGCAGCACTAACTCCAGGCACGAGCCCTGGCGATGTCATGGCTATGTCACAACAGACAGCCACCAGCTCCTAGAACCAGCCCTGGTGGTGTCATGGCTGTGTCACAGCAGACAGAGGTGGTGGCCATGTCACAGGGGAGTTGCTGGTGACGTGGGTGGCCCAGGACAGGTGTAAAAAGGGCTATGCAAGACCAGGCTGGCAGACAAGTAGCCAGGTGAACAAGGGCTGAGAGGAGAGGGCAGGGGAGGGATGGGCAGGGGCTGCCCACGGTGGTGGAGAGTGGTTGCTCCTCTTTTGTGGCTTCATGACTGGAGTGCTGCAATGGATG